GTATTGAATGCTTTGGCATACACCCATTACAGACCAGACCAATTTTTTCCCCTTCAACTATGGGCCTCTTGATTCAGCAATAGTGAAAACAAGCTAAACTGTAGACACTTGCCAACATGAGCTGTCAATATGAGATGACAACCCACTGTCCTATTGGAGAACTTTGGTACCCAACAAATCACATACAGTGGGGATCGAAAGTTTGGGCACCCCAGCTAAAAGTATCATTGCCCATTCTTCCTTACAAAAGTCTTCCAGTTCTTTGAGATTTCTGGGCTGTCTGTCACGCACTGCTCTTTTAAGGTCTATCCATAGATTTTCAATTATGTTGAGGTCAGGAGATTGTGAAGGCCATGGCAAAACCTTCAGTTTACGCCTCTTGATGTAATCCCCCGTGGATTTCGAGGTGTGTTTAGGATCATTATCCATTTGTAGAAGCCATCCTCTCTTTCACTTCAGCTTTTTCACAGATGGCATCAAGTTACCATCCAAAATTTGCTGAAATTTTATTGAATCCATTTTTCCTTCTACTCGTGAGATGTTCCCTGTGCCACTGGCTGCAACACAACCCCAAAGCATGATTGATCCAACCCCATGCTTAACAGTTGGACAGAGATTCTTTTCATTAAATTCTGTGCCCCTTCTTCTCCAAACGTACCTTTGCTCATTCCTGCCAAAAAGTTCAATTTTAACCTCATCGGTCCACAGAACTTGTTCCCAAAATGCATCAGGCTTGTCTATATGTTCATTTGCAAAGCTCAAACGATGATTTTTGTGGTGAGGACGTAGAAGAGGTTTTCCATGAAGACCATATTTGTACAAGTATCTCTTTATAGTGGAATAGTGTACCACAACTCCAGTGTCTGCCAGATCTTTCTGGAGGGATCGTGCAGTCAAACGTGGGTTTTGAATTGTTTTTCTCACAATCCTGCGAGCTGTTCTGTCTGATATTTTTCTTGGTCTTCCAGATCTTGCTTTAACTTCCACTGTTCCTGATGACTGCCATTTCTTAATGACATTCCGAACAGAGGATATTGACATCTGAAAACGCTTTGCTATCTTCTTATAGCCTTCTCCAGCTTTGTGAGCGTCAACTATTTTCAGTTTCAGTTTTCTAGACAACTGCTTAGAAGAACCCATGGTGCTGTTTGTTGGGGAAAGGTCAGATGAGTCTGGGCATTTAAAACCTTTGAGGTTGACATAACCTGGTCTTCCCAGACGATGATTGAGAACAATCCATGACACTGGCAGGTCTCAGCTTTGCAAAGGGGGCAGTGCATGCTATAAATTCTGCAGGGTGCCCAAACTTTTGCATACGCCATTTTTTTGTTTTCTGTTATTTTGAAAGTGTAAATGATGGAAATAAAATCTAACTTTTGTTGACGTATTATAAGAATGTCTAGTCTGTAATTTGATGCCTTTTGGAGAATTTTCCATCTTTCCTTGGCTTCTTTATGCACATTAATACAAATTTTTAGCTGGGGTGCCCAAACTTTCGATCCCCACTGTATGTCTTACACTCCCAACCTCCCTGGATTCTGCTGAATGTTCCCGGATTTTTAGCACAATCCCAGTCTCCCTAGAGCCAAGTACTGGAGTTTCAGCACCCAGCTCCTGCTTTTTGCAAGCTCTGTGCAGTGAAGTCATGTCCTACCCACCAGAATTCGCATAGTCCCAGCAGTAGGAGTAGGAGTGAAAGATCAGCAGCATGGGACATTGACTGCTATGTAAATGTTTTCCACTGAAATCAATGTTTACCCCTACTCCCACTGGGCGCTGTTGTCCCTATTCACCTACCTGCAACTGGGCATGTTTGTTTTCCCCTATACCCGCCACTGAGCCACACCCAGCTGGGTACTAATCCCCCCTCCACCCTGCTGGACACTATTGTTCTCCTCACCCTTCTCTGGGCACTATAGTTTCCTTCATCTCCTTTTGGACACTGTTGTTCCCCCCTACCCCCCCTCACTCGGTGCTATTGTTCTCCCACTTGCACTGGCACAATTGTTGCTCCCCTTCCCAGCACTGCTGTCCCCCACACTCCCTGCTAGACATTATTATTCCCCCACATCCAACTGGACAATATTGTTCCTCTCGCTAAGTCCTTATTGTCCCCCACAACCCCCTGTTCCCTGGGCACAATTGTTCCCCTCATTGCCTGATCAGCATAATTGTTCCTCCCACTCCTGGTGAGTACCAGTGCCCATCCCCTTCAGTGTCATTGTTGTTTCCTGATTTGCTACTAAGCACTAATGCCCTTCACCACACCTCGCTGATACAAGGTCATTCATTCTACTACCGTCATTGACACCTGCCATTTTTTTCTTCCTAATGACTACTGACTACTAGGAATACATTCACTGAAGGGCACTACTTTGGGTTGCTGGGCTGGAGATGGACACCTTCATCAATGAAGAGTGTTGCATGGAAGCTGGGTTGAATACAGCTATCTTGGGACATTAAAAGCAGAACCTTTGCCTAGGACTACAGGTGTGCATGTGCTTTGGGGATTGATGCCAGAGGTTGCTGTAAGGACTGGAACTGCTCATACAGAATGGCAGATGAGCTGGCTATCCCCTCTACCTCTAGAAACATTCAAGGCTGCTATTAAAAGATTTTTGCTGAAAAACCTGTCTGCCTGTATCTGTTTTGCATTTTGAGTATCCTGCACAATACTGCATTACATCTACAAAAACCCCATCTACCCCACATCCAACTGCTATCTAGATCTTGCAGGCTCCACCTCTGCAATATCTCCAAGATACGCACATTCCTCACCCCAGACACCACCAAACAACTCGTACACTCCCTCATCATCTCACACCTGGACTATTGCAATTCCCTTCTCACTGGCCTACCCAAACAAACGCTATCCCCACTTCAGTCGATCCTAAACTCAGCGGCTAGACTCATCCACCTCACCACCCGGTCCACATCTGCCTCCCCCCTCTGCCAATCCCTTCATTGGCTCCCGATTGCCCAACGCATCAAATTCAAACTGCTAACTCTGACCTACAAAGCTATTCACAACGCTGCCCCAAACTACATAACCAACCTGATACCCAAATACTACCCTACCCGTGCCCTCCGCTCCTCACAGGACCTCCTGATCTCTAGCTCCCTGGTCTCCTCCTCCCACGCCCGATTGCAGGACTTCTCTAGGACTTCCCCATCCTCTGGAACTCCTACCCCAATCCATCAGACTGTCACCTACCCTCCTCACCTTCAGGCGCACCCTGAAAACCCTCCTCTTCAGGGAAGCCTACCCCAACCTCACCTAACACCTGACCTCACCTAACAACTAACCTCCTCCACTCCTCCCACCACTCCATCCCCCACAGCCATTTCCTCCTGTACCAACTTCCCCTCCCTCCTAGATTGTAAGCTCGAAAGAGCAGGGCCCTCGAACCCCTCGTGTATTGTATTGTTACTGTCTTGTCTCATGTTCTGTCCCCCTTGCTATTGTACAGTGCTGAGCATACCCTTTGGCGCTATATAAATACTGTATAATAATAATAATACAAAAAGACACCCCTGCCTAGACTGAGCCTGTGTTTTTGTTGGTGTGCTTGGAACTGGTGTCTGGACCCAACAGCCTCTGAACAGGTAAGGGAGACCTGGGTCATTTTCATACGTACTTTGGGGGTGAGTGCTACATTTAAAAAGCTAGTATCAAATTGATTGGAGTGATTACCTTTTTTGTTTTGCCTGCTGGATTTGCTGCAGAGACACACTGGAGGTCTTCACTTGCCACTGTGCTGTGTGTGTCTTCCACATATTTTACAAATGTATGCAACAAAATCCTGTTTTTAATGTAATTTTTGAACCAGAAAGAACGCATCTGCATCAACCCAAGCATCCACAACATCCAAAAGATTGTATAATATATAAGCTTCTGTCCACATTTGTCCAATATTTCAGCTGCTTTCCCTACCACTAGAGTATTTAAGATGCAGGTGAAATGACTGCCAAGAATCTTTCTTTTATGTATCTAGGACCCCTCTGCCTAAAACAAGCATTGCTGGTATTTCTTTTATAGGTTTTTATTAGTGATGATTGCATAAATGAAGTCTTTCTCACTTAAGCCTGTGATTTATTTTAAATTAAACAAAAATGCTTCAGGGTATTAAACAGATTATAACATTTAAATACTACTTTATAAAAACTATATGTTGCTAGGCAAACACCATAATCCACTTACTAAAGCTGTTTTCTTTCAGAGCATTCCATTTAGAATTTCCTTCCTCACCAGTGAGTACATTTCATTGAGAAAATTAATTTCACTGTTGTGTAGTGGACAGTCCAGCTTATTGGTGTTCATCCAGGAAGTCATTATAGGCTGGGGGGCATGGATCAATTCCATTAACATGGATTTATGAAAAGAAAAGCAGTGCCTTTAGGATTAAACCTGACCTTGAAATGCAGCGACTGAAAAGTGTATGTAATTGTCAGATGCCCTAATGGTGAAGATTCCATGTTTCTGGAAGAGTTGTAGCAAAAAAAAACAAAACAAAACACTAAATTCAGTTATGCCATTCAATATATAAACTAAAAAAAAAAGTGTTAAAAATGACAAAGGTCTTTTGGAAATGTTTAGTACATGGACCCATGTTGCAAGAAGAGAAATTAAATGAGGATTACCTGTTACCCTAACAATTTTTGGAATGAGCTTTAAATCTTAAGTGCTTTTTATTTGTTGTGCTTTGTTATTAATGCGCCATACAGCTGTAGGTCTAAGAGATATAAAGGAGTCTGATAACAGCGACAATGGTGACTATAGCCTATTCCAGCCTCCAGGGCAGGGGGGCATGGTGATATATACTGCACAGACAAATTAGGACTCTCATCAACAGATTGATGTCAGAATTAGAGATGAGCGAAGTATTCAAAAATTTGATTCGGCTGATTCAGCGAATTCGCGGAATAAATTCGATTCGAGTCGAATATATTCGCTGCGAATTTAACTTATAAAAAGGGTGTTTCTAGGCTTCAGAGAGCCTTTATATTAGTGCAGAACACTGTACCTTTAATTTAAATGCTCTTGGAGTCTGCTGGGGAAGAGAAATAATACTGTCAGTCAGTATGACATGCAGATGAGTGCCGTCGATCTTAGAATCACCGCACACTTCACTCATTTGGGCAGTCACGGGGCCAAAACCAGAGTGTGGAGCCACAGTGTGGCGGTGGAGGCAGCAGCAATGGGAGGCCATACAGCACCCTATGAAAAAATGGAACCCACCAGCAGTGTGAGGAGACCTGAAAGTGGCACATGGCAGAGTGTGTGGCGATGGAGACAGCAGCAATGGGAGGCCGTACAGGGACCCATGACACACTCTGGACCTGGCAGCAGCATGAGGAGGCGGTACAGGGGCCCATGACAGATTACGGGCCTGGCAGCAGCATGAGGAGTCGGTACGGGGGCCCATGGCAGATTACGGGCCTGGCAGATGACGACGAGGCTGCCAAGTGCGATCAGCCTCATCATCATCAATTAGGGTCTCCGCCTCACTACTAGCCCCCTCGGCTGCGTGTGGGTCAGGAGACAGACCTGTCTCTAGACCGGCTACCGAGCCACTCTCCTCGCCAGTACTTCTTCGCCTGGCTGCTGAAGAGGCGGATGTCTCCCCCCGTTCCTGACCACCCTCTGTTAGCTCTTCCTCACTGTACAGTGGGGCTGAGCCCACAGCATGCGATACTTCGCTTGGTGAGGGAACACCAAAGGACAGGGCAGGTAGAGGACACGTGATTTCAGTGGGCTTGCTCCCGGGCCATGCCAACTAACGGTTGTGTCTGACGTACCCACCGACCGTTGGCTGTAGGTGTCAGAGGTGACCTGGGAAGAGGAAGACGACCGAGTTAACCAATCGATGACGGCAGGGTTGTCGGTGGAGACACGACCGCTGGATGACACCGGGAGCACTGGCCTCTGGCTGCGACTAGTGCTGCCTCGACCCCTTCCTCTGCTGCCTACGTCTGCTCGCTCCTGAAACATTGCCTCCTCTGCCACTCCTCTGCGTGTTGTCTGACATAGTCTTTAATTCAAACGATTCTGTGTCCCTGAGTAACGATTCTGTGTCCCTGAGTAACAATTCTGTGTCCCTGAGTAACGATTCTGTGTCCCTGAGTAACGATTCTGTGTCCCTGAGTAACAATTCTGTGTCCCTCAGTAATGATTCTGTGTCCCTCAGTAACGATTCTGTGTCCCTGAGTAACAATTCTGTGTCCCTGAGTAACGATTCTGTGTCCCTGAGTAACGATTCTGTGTCCCTGAGTAACAATTCTGTGTCCCTGTAACAATTCCCTGAGTAACGATTCTGTGTCCCTCAGTAACAATTCTGTGTCCCTGAGTAACGATTCTGTGTCCCTGAGTAACGATTCTGCGTCCCTCAGTAACAATTCTGTGTCCCTGAGTAACGATTCTGTGTCCCTCAGTAACAATTCTGTGTCTCTGAGTAACAATTCTGTGTCCCTGAGTAACGATTCTGTGTCCCTGAGTAACGATTCTGTGTCCCTCAGTAACAATTCTGTGTCCCTCAGTAACAATTCTGTGTCCCTGAGTAACAATTCTGTGTCCCTGAGTAACAATTCTGTGTGTCCCTGAGTAACAATTCTGTGTCCCTGAGTAACAATTCTGTGTCCCTGAGTAACGATTCTGTGTCCCTCTGAGTAACGATTCTGTGTCCCTGAGTAACGATTCTGTGTCCCTGAGTAACGATTCTGTGTCCCTGAGTAACGATTCTGTGTCCCTCAGTAACAATTCTGTGTCCCTGAGTAACGATTCTGTGTCCCTGAGTAACAATTCTGTGTCCCTGAGTAACAATTCTGTGTCCCTGAGTAACAATTCTGTGTCTGTCCCTGAGTAACAATTCTGTGTCCCTGAGTAACAATTCTGTGTCCCTGAGTAACGATTCTGTGTCCCTCAGTAACAATTCTGTGTCCCTGAGTAACAATTCTGTGTCCCTGAGTAACAATTCTGTGTCTGTCCTGAGTAACAATTCTGTGTCCCTGAGTAACAATTCTGTGTCCCTCAGTAACAATTCTGTGTCCCTGAGTAACAATTCTGTGTCCCTGAGTAACAATTCTGTGTCTGTCCCTGAGTAACAATTCTGTGTCCCTGAGTAACAATTCTGTGTCCCTCAGTAACGATTCTGTGTCCCTCAGTAACAATTCTGTGTCCCTGAGTAACAATTCTGTGTCCCTGAGTAACGATTCTGTGTCCCTGAGTAACAATTCTGTGTCCCTGAGTAACAATTCTGTGTCTGTCCCTGAGTAACAATTCTGTGTCCCTGAGTAACAATTCTGTGTCCCTGAGTAACGATTCTGTGTCCCTCAGTAACAATTCTGTGTCCCTGAGTAACAATTCTGTGTCCCTGAGTAACAATTCTGTGTCTGTCCCTGAGTAACAATTCTGTGTCCCTGAGTAACAATTCTGTGTCCCTCAGTAACAATTCTGTGTCCCTGAGTAACAATTCTGTGTCCCTGAGTAACAATTCTGTGTCTGTCCCTGAGTAACAATTCTGTGTCCCTGAGTAACAATTCTGTGTCCCTCAGTAACGATTCTGTGTCCCTCAGTAACAATTCTGTGTCCCTGAGTAACAATTCTGTGTCCCTGAGTAACGATTCTGTGTCCCTGAGTAACAATTCTGTGTCCCTCAGTAACGATTCTGTGTCCCTGAGTAACAATTCTGTGTCCCTGAGTAACAATTCTGTGTCCCTGAGTAACAATTCTGTGTCCCTGAGTAACAATTCTGTGTCCCTGAGTAACAATTCTGTGTCCCTGAGTAACGATTCTGTGTCCCTCAGTAACAATTCTGTGTCTCTGAGTAACAATTCTGTGTCCCTGAGTAACAATTCTGTGTCTGTCCCTGAGTAACAATTCTGTGTCCCTGAGTAACAATTCTGTGTCCCTCAGTAACAATTCTGTGTCCCTGAGTAACAATTCTGTGTCCCGGAGTAACAATTCTGTGTCTGTCCCTGAGTAACAATTCTGTGTCCCTGAGTAACAATTCTGTGTCCCTCAGTAACGATTCTGTGTCCCTCAGTAACAATTCTGTGTCCCTGAGTAACAATTCTGTGTCTGTCCCTGAGTAACAATTCTGTGTCCCTGAGTAACAATTCTGTGTCCCTGAGTAACGATTCTGTGTCCCTAAGTAACGATTCTGTGTCCCTAAGTAACGATTCTGTGGCCCTAAAGTCTCTCTGGCCCTAACTCTGTCCCTAATACAGACTCTCTTGAATGACCGGAGGCTAATGGAGAATTGTAAGATGGCCGCAATTTTATAGCTCCACCATTACACAGTGCTGGCTGGCTGGCTGCTGATTGGCTAATGCGATCACATGTCATGAATGAATGCATTATGGGTCAGCGCGCCTTGTCTGCGCGCCTTCCCAGAGATCCCCGCTCCGTCGCCACACATGTCGCCGCCATTTTTGGCAAAATTCGATTCGTGCATCCGAAGTTGGCTAATTTTCGGATTCGGCGCGAATCGAATATTTCCCAATATTCGAAACGAATTCCACTTCGCCATGTTCGATTCGCTCATCTCTAGTCAGAATGTATTTTAGTTTACTTAGTAAATACTGTAATTCAATATGTGGTAGAAAGTCAATTTCTAATAAGTTTAATCACTTATCTTTATCAGAAACCTGTACTTAGAGAAATATGTCAACTGCCATTGTTGACCTCTTTCTGAAAATTCTAATCATTTGGTTTCAATATTTTTTGATTGTCTGACCCAGTGCAAGAATGTAGCATATCAAGTCACTGTAAAGTCAGCTCACAAGAAGAAGATATGATCTGGGGGTACTCTCGGCTTTCAACATTCTTTACTGCAATGTACCCAAGGCTTAAAGCATCTTAACAGGATGTGGCCTTTGTCAAGGTCTGTACACTCTATGAAAACTTGCAACAGTTTGTACAAGAAATGGTGGATGGATTGATACTTTCAAATTAATGTAGCTTTTAATATGTCGCAATAGTATTACAAGCTGAAAGTGCAACCAAATTGGATTTTCTTCTTGTGAGTTGGATTACAACTGTTTATAGGGTGAGACCCAAGCCTCTGAAAAGATGGGATCAACAGTACTATGGCAACCTAAGTGCCAAAAATTTGTAAACTATATCACTGTAAATGTAGACTTTTATAGTGCACAATTGTTCCAAGCAGTAAGACACCATTTTCAAAAGAAAAGACAATCTAAATATTCCTCTCGCTATGCATTCCTATGAGGCACGTTTAATTACAGCTGTCATTTTCCCATACGTTCTCACAGGGTATTTCAACTTGATGTGAATTTATGTTGAAGGGAATCTTTAGGAAATTATATATCATGTATAAACCAAAATAATGGTTTGGGAAACACATATACATTTTTAGGAGGTACTGGTAATAAACATGCACATTCCAAAGAGTACTTGAAATATGGTGAACTATTCCAGGTAGAGTTGCCACCTTATTCCTTTAAAACTGAACACATATTAATTACACTGTGGCTGATTAAGGTGGTAATTTAACTCACATTTTGTCTTATCTGCATGACATTAGCCTCAGAACCTGTGTAATTAATATGTGTTCAGGCTTAAAGGGATGAGGTGGCAACCCTAATTCCACGTGGTATTTACTAAGTGCTAGTTGTTATACAGGATTACACAGTCAAATGGGAAACAATGCCCTATACAATCAGAAACAATATGCAGTGTTGCCAGAAGGCCAATTCTTTTAGTTTTGGTATTTAGGTTGTGTAAAAGCACCATGTACCACATGCTAAACATTTTTAAAGCTTTCAGCAAGCTTGCAGTGTTTTCTTGAACCCTTAGGTTCAGCTTCAGATTTAGAATGGTAAACACAGATCTTACTGGGAGGACTGCTAACAAGGAAGCTGTTTGAAGCTGCTAAAAGCATCAAAAAAGGCTTTGTAAAAGGTAGTTATTCCATGTTCTGCTCCAAATACCAATATAGACAATGGCATAGCTCTGTAGAATTAGTCTGCTAGACAGTATTTCCACTTCCTGACTTGGCAGAATCCATAGGCAGTTTTACCTCCTTGGCGGTATCATTCTTTCCGATTTTTTGTGCTGAAAGCGGTACCATTTTTTTGCATGGAAATATGTAGTTTTTTATTGTAGGCTGTAATTTTTAGGAATAACTCACTGAAATCTGTCCGAACAAGAGTCTATTAAACATTCCGTATATGATAAAATTTGAAACACGAAATCATAAATTATAATTTAATAAATAATCATAAAAAATAATAATAAATTTAATTCAATAATATAATCAAACCAAAAACACTGAAATTTGAAATACAGAGGCAAATTCGCACATCGCTGAGCAAAGTCGCAAAATTGTTTTCAGTGTCTGATGACGAATTTCCCCACAAATCATTATCACTCAATTCTGCAAGTGGTTCTGATTTACTATCGCTGTTCTAAAACCGCTTTTGACGTAAAGGGACGCTTTTTGGATGCCATGGACTTTTCTAAGTTTCCAGGCAGAAAGAACAGTCAAAATGCAGGCAGGGCACAGGACAAAGCAGTAGGGACAAAATGTATGTGAAATGCATTGAAATTGCAATGACATTTTTTAAAAAATTCAAATTTCCCGCCGGTTCCGGCGC